ATTAGTTAGTCCTCGAGACCCTGCTTTCCTTTTACTTGTATTATACCTTTCTATTTGTGTTTCTTCTTTTGAGTTCTTATACTAGGGAAACTATACGATATTTACACATGTGTGTCTGGTTGATTTCACTTATGAGTATATCTTCAAGTGGCATCCACTTCAATATAAAGGCTTCAAGTTTCTCATTCTTTTTTTTTCCATAAATAGGACTTTTATCACTATTAAAAATCTGGATCTTAAACGGACTCTTGCACTGGTGGTTCATATACATCAGTTTGTTCAACTTTAGCTTCAGCCTCATCTCCTGTAGCCTTTCCAGAGCTGCTACCTTCACCAGGAAGCTCCATGAGTTTTCCCAATTCAAACTTGGGCTTCTTCAGCATTTTTACTTTTCTGACAAAGACATCATGAAGAGGGTAGATAGATTGGCAAGCCTTTTCTATGTCTTTCCCAATTCTGTCTGGAATCAGTTTATTGACCACTTCAAGTCATTTGTCTGCACCTCTTGGGTCATGATTTCCATCTTCTTCTTCCGGATCAGGCGGACCTGTTGGTGCTGAGCGTAAGACGTCTTCTGTATCTGATTGTAGCATTTTTTAATAAAGCCAACACAGAACAGTCGAAGCAAATAACCATCGGTAGTCTTGACATCAACATGAGCTTCGATCATGGTCTGCCATTTTTTTGACCATGAAACACATTTTGTCACAGGTAAGGTCCATGCCATGGAAGTTAGGGAGTTTTTACCCTGAACATCTGCAGTAAATAGCTTGAATTTTCTAAAGGCAACTTCATCATTCTGCAGATTAGCAAGGCTCACTTCAAACACACGACCTTTGATCCCATGAGATGCAATTTTGGTTCCTTGGGTTCTGGTGATGAGTGTTTTTCCAATATTTCTTATGTTGAACATAGCCGGCACCTTCACATCATACCAGTCTTCTTTAGAAAATGGATCAACCACTTTCTTCTTGGCTCCTTTTTTGCCGCCTATCGTAAGGCACTTGTTCTTGCCTACTGCCATGGTGCTGCTCAGAGAGACAAAAGGCGAGTTTATCATTCTTTAAAGCTGAGTAATACTCCATTGTATAAAATTACCACATCTTTTTCATCCATTCCTCAGGGGATGGGCATCTTGGTTGTTTCCAAGATTTGGTTATCACAAATTGTGCTGCTATAAACATAGGCACATAGATATCACTATGATACGATGTTTTCAGATCCTCCAGGAAAATTCCCAGTAGAATAATAGCTGGTTTAAATGGGATTTCCAGGCCAAGTTTTTTCTAAGGAGTCTCCACTGATTTCCATAATGGTTGCACCACTCTACATTCCCTCCAGCAGTGGAGAAGGATTCCTTTTTCCCCACAGCCTCTCTAACATTTGTTGTTGGTTGAGTTCTTTAT